AGAGAGAGAGAGAGAGAGAGAGAGAGAGAGAGAGAGAGAGAGAACAGCTGGTTTGTGTTCTTCATATGTGGCGTTTGACTTCAAAACTATGATAGCATTCTGCTCATCCATTAATTTTATTTGAAGCTTGCTGGTTTGTGTTCTTCATACGTGGCATTTGACTTCAAAACTATGATAGCATTCTGCTCATCCATTAATTTTATTTGAAGCTTGCTGGGATTATATTTTGATCCTTCTATGCCAACCGCCTGATTTGGGTTTTAATACAGGAATGGATGCACAGGTTGCTTATGGATTCCATCATTTGCGAAATGAAAAACCTTACCTTGCACAAGGACCAATCACAAATAAGGTCTACTTTTTTTAACGTGCTACTGTCAATGATTCCAAACAAGTAGTTAATTTTGTGTGTGTGTGTGTGTGTGTGGTTCCTCTTTTCTTTTTCTTTCTTTCTCTTTGTTTTATTTTTATTTTCTTTTATTTTTTATTTTTATTCCCCCCACCCCCCATAACCAGTAGAATTTCTCGATTCTGTTTGTTGATGTAACTGTATTTTACCATGAGGAAAATAGGTATCATTAAGTATTCTCATTAATATGTTTGCTAGCTATAAATCATCTAAATGAATCCTTCTGTTATTGCAGCTGATCTATTCTAGTTATAGTTGCACACAAGGCTGGTTCTTCACACCTTGCGCAAGCGATCCAAGTTTAAGGTTAGATATCTTTTGGTTGAAGCAATTTGTTATCTTCTGATGGTTGTTCAGTTCAGCCTCTTGCTTTGTTACCTGCTGAAGTAAATAATTTATCATCAATCACCATTTGACTTTGATTTGATTGTAGCATACGTGTGTGCTTCCCCCTATAAAATAACTGGAACTGAACATGTAAAAGTTAACTTGTACAATGTCCTTTCACGTTTAAATAGATCTGAACGATATTCTACTGATGATGGCTTGGTAGTTTCTAATTTGTTTAAAACTTATCTGGCATAGGGGACTTAAAAACATTCTAAGGATCCATGTTAAAAAGGTCAATTGCTCGGAATGGGAGCTGATTACAGTCCCTTCAAGGTATCATTCTGAATATTTAATTTTTCTTGCAATATATTTTTAATAGGTAATGTTTGTTTGTTTGTTTGTTT